GGGGGGGGGGGGGGGGAACCAAAACAATTGTTGCGCTCACTCAGTAAGTCACAGAATTCGTGATGTGCCCCCCCCCTCCACCCTGAAGAAAATAAACATATAGATGAAGGCAATTCAGTCATTCAACCGATATCACAAACATCGTGGCTAACAGGTAGAGGAAAAGGGAGTTAGTTGTATCCACATCAGCATAAGCCCACTAACGGCTAAAACAAACCAATACAGTTTTTGATTCATGCAATGAGTTCGATAAAATTTGTACACTCACTGTTGTTAAACACTGAATGTTTGTCTGCCAAGAAAACGTGTGTAAATCGATCAATAACGTAATAAGGCAGTACTGAAAGCCTGGATTATTTCGATATCATGTTTACCCAAGCAGTTCATTGACTGACCGATTCGGATCAGGAAGTATTCGGGTCAGTGAGAAGTCACGTGTTCTCCAGCGTGTTCCTCTATGTGTATCGATGACGTCGTCTTTCAGGACTTCGTAAGGACGCGTAACATGAAAACCGAGGTTTAAATTTTATGAAAATTGAAGTCCGTTCAGTTTTTCACCATGACACTGAGATAATTTATATAGAATGTATAAAGTTTGTGTGCGAAATTAGAATAGATAAAAGAAATTCATTTCCATGATTTTCAAAGACACGGATAGGGAGCTCTCGGGGCTTGGTCTTTGAAACAAACCAAGCTTGCATGCCTTCATGTTAACAATCTTTCCAGGCTTCATCTATTGCACTGAATTAAAAATGAACTTGTAAGTTTACTCACACCAGTGGGTCATACAGTAGAGTTGGGGTGATGAACACTTTTCTCGAGCTATGTGAGTAATTTATGCATGAATTTCAGTTCCGGACTCATTCCTTCGGGGTCAGTCAGCTCGCGATGCGGCCTAATTCATTCAGCAATCTGCACGTACGTTGCTGAGATAGACAGAACTTGATGGATTTCGAGAATCTCTTACTTTATGCAACTTTATGTAGAGACGCATGATAAAGTCTATACTATATTTATTCTCCATAACAGCTTCAAAATAATAGCATACCAATCAATAAAGATCGTTTCAAATATTGATTCATGCCAGGAGATGACAACCGAGTGGGTAGTATGCTTGAGCTCTATCTGAGGTCCTGGGTTCGATCCTCATTTGGGTTGATGAATTCGTCGCACTGCTGATGAGACTCAACTAGGTCGAAACAGCTGTCCAGTTCTTCCCAGCTTCTCAGCTCACGCCTCATTTACACGACGATTTCATCATGAAAAACAAACCAAATCCTCCATTTCTCCAATGGTTACAATTTTGGCAGCCCCTCCTCTTAGGAAATTTTACTGGATGATTGATCCCGTTTTAGCAGAGATTTGCTTCAGTCAGTGGTCCACGAAGTGCCTTGTTTAGAGCTCAATCACAGCTAGTTTCAGTTACAGATTAATGAGAAAAAATATGCTGGTGGAAGAACCAGTTGATCGCTAAACTGTACGTAAACTGGACATGTCAAAAGTGAGTCACTTGAAACATGATTACGTAGTTAAGAACTGAGTCTTTGATTAGGTTAAGTCTCGGTCGAACAGGTTAGCATTTAATTGAGGTAGACTGGCTGCTCTAACAAACGAATTTCTTTACGTCAGGCACTGAAATAATATGACCCACATTAAGCCGGACTAACGGCTTGAAAAACAATTGACCGATCACGCGGTGGGCTGATGTGACCGCTTTGTTCAAATAGATCACACATGTACAGGTCATTCAGTCGGACATTCATAAAATGATCGATGAATGGACTGGCATGGGTTCGTCTGTTTTAGACACTATAGTAAATTTTGGAGTAGCAAGCTTGGATTAGAACATTTAATTGCTAATAGGCACCAGGCACTCTTGATGTTCTTGGATGTGGGTTTTGCAGTAACACGGCATTTTCACCTTCTGTCTACGAGTCCTTTTCTACTCGAAACAAGCTTATGTTTTACCAGGTGCAATTACCTGTTTACGCTTAACCGCGGAATTGTCACTTGTGCCGGTGAGTCACGCTACCTCGTTACACGTGTAAACCTTTCGTTGCATGTCTCGCTCTATAAACCGTTGGTCGTACGTTGTTCGTCTTCTCACCTGTTCAGAGCAACAGTCATATTGCTCTTCACCGAATCCAGGAACGCTGAGCTAATTCGCGTTTATTCTAGTAGATCATGCAAGCTATCTAAAGCTTCACTCCTTGGGAGATCGTTAATTCCACCCGATTTCATGAATTTACATGCGATGTTAATGTTTGTGATAACCAACAAAGAACACTGGACAGCTGTTTCGCCCTGTTTGGGACTCGTCAGCGGTGCGTACGTTTTGTGTCCCTATCAGGACTCGAACCGTGGACGTTCGGGTTGGGACTTCAAACCCTTACCCCTGAGCTACATCAACTTGTGCGAATGGCTCAATCACTTTTAGAATAGCAAGTTTGGATCAGCCCATTCGATTGTTAAGAGGTACCAGGCACCCTTGATTGCCTTGGGTGTGGGCTTTGCTCCTTGAGAGATCCTTAATTAACGATTAACGAACGGAATTAACGATCTCCCAAGAAGTGAAATCCACACCCAATTACATCAAGAGTGCCTGATGCCTCTTAACAATCGAATGGACTGATCTAAGCTTGCTATTCTAAAATTGATTGAGCCATTCGCACAAGATGATGACTATCGACCGTGTAGCTCAGGAGTAAGGGTTTGAAGTCCCAACCCGAACGTCCACGGTTCGAGTCCTGACAGGGAGACAAAATAGTACGCACTTGCTTGAGTCCAACGCTGAGGACAAATTCACACGTTCTATGGATACACTACCATGGTTTTTCCTTTTTGTAAGATAAAATTGTGCTGAAAGACTGCACGCCAAAAAGAATTCTGCGTTCATCAGGAAAGCTGTTTCCACATAATGTGGCCTTAATAACGGCCCTTCCAGAGAAAATTAAATCCGAAAACCCGGTATCGTTGCGTGCACATTTTAGGTCCTAATGGATGTTCTGGTTTTCAGATTCTGGGGGACATCCAAACCAGGAATTGACCAATCAGCCTTGCGACCGAGGAGTCTTAACTTATGGTATTCTGGGATGGTGGCGATCTCATAATCTTTTGATCGCAGTGATGAGTCTTCAGTTTTCAGTTTTGAGGGCAGTGAGTAGGATCATATGCGGTGATCTCTCCACAATCCCTGAATGTAAACGTGCAAATGCCGCCTGGAAGCATCGCAGTCGCCCCGTGCACCGCTATGACTGGAATGAAACTTCAGAGGATTGTCACTCTTTTCGAGAGTTGGTAGACCAACTGACTGAAGCTTCTGCCACGAAATGGAGTGCCCCGGCGTGTGTTGCTGTCCTCAGAATTTTCAATCTTTTTTTCAGATTTTTTATTATGAGAAAAAAATTACAAAGACTTTGATTATCAAATCCCTTTAGGGTGTTTACACTTTGGTTTGGAACACTATTCACAAGATCACAGTTAGTCCATGAAAGTAAAGTAGTAAAGTAATGTTTTTGACAAGCACAGGAGAATATATTACGTAGTCGGCTGTTGAAGCATAATGTTTGCCAGAGCATCATCAAGCTGACCCTTGAAAGATACTAATGTTGGCGCACAGACCACGTGAGGTGGTAGAGAGTTCCATGTGCT